TAAGCTAGTGTCCTAGAAAAGAAAGAACGTGGCCTAGAGCAGCAAGCTGATGTCCAAGAACAGCATGCTGGTGCCCTAGAGCAGCAAGCTGGTGTCCTAGAGCAGCAAGCTGGTGTCCTAGAGCAGCAAGCTGGTGTCCTAGAGCAGCATGCTGGTGCCCAAGAGCAGCAAGCTGGTGTCCTAGAGCAGCATGCTGGTGCCCTAGAGCAGCATGCTGGTGCCCTAGAGCAGCAAGCTGGTGTCCAAGAGCAGCAAGCAGGTGTCCTAGAGCAGCAAGCTGGTGTCCTAGAGCAGCATGCTGGTGCCCTAGAGCAGCAAGCTGGTGTCCTAGAGCAGCATGCTGGTGCCCTAGAGCAACATGCTGGTGCCCTAGAGCAGCAAGCTGGTATCCAAGAGTAGCAAGCAGGTGTCCTAGAGCAGCAAGCTGGTGTCCTAGAGCAGCATGCTGGTGCCCTAGAGCAGCAAGCTGGTGTCCTAGAGCAGCAAGCTGGTGCCTTAGAGCAGCGACCTTGTGTCCTAGAGCAGCAAGCTGGTGTCCTAGAGCAGCAAGCTGGTGTCCGAGAGCAGCAAGCAGGTGTTCTAGAGCAGAAAGCTGTTGTCTTAGATAAGCAAGCAGGTGTCCTAGAGCAGAAAGCTGTTGTCTTAGATTAGCAAGCAGGTGTCCTAGAACAGCAAGCAGGTGTCCTAAAGCAGCAAGCTGGTGTCCTAGAGCAGCAAGCTGGTGTCCTAGAACAGAAAGCAGGTGCCTAAAGCAGCAAGCAGTTGTATTAGAGCAGAGACCTGGTGTCCTAGAGAAGCAAGCTAGTGTCCTAGAGCAGTAAGCTGGAGTACTAGAGCAGCAGGTAGGTGTCCTAGAGCAGTAGGCAAGTGTCCTAGAGCAGTAAGCTGGTGTCCTAGATCTGCAAGCTGGTGTCCTAGAGTAGCAAGCTAATGTCCTAGAGCAGCAAGCAGGTGTCCTAGATCAGCAAGCAGGTGTCCTGGAGCAGTAAGCAGGTTTCCTAGAGCAGCAAGCAGGTTTCCTAGAGCAGCAAGCAGGAGTCATAGATCAGCAAGCAGGTGTCCTGGAGCAGTAAGCAGGTTTCCTAGAGCAGCAAGCAGGTTTCCTAGAGCAGCATGCTGGAGCCCTAGAGCAGCAAGCTGGTGTTCTAGAGCAGCAAGCTGGTGGCCTAGATCAGCGGCCTTGTGTCCTAGACCAGCAAGCTGGTGTCCGAGAGCAGAAAGCAGGTGTGCTAGATCAGCAAGCCGGTGTCCTAGAGCAGTAAGCAAGTGTCTTAGAGCAGTAAGCTGGTGTCCTAGAGCGGCAAGCTGGTATCCTTGAGCAGAAAGCAGGTGTCATAGAGCAGCAAGCTGGATACCTAGAGCAGCAAGCAGGTGTCCTAGAGCAGTTAGCTGGTGTCAAAGAGCAGCAAGCTGGCGTTCTAGATCAGCAAGCTGATGTCCTAGAGCAGCAAGCCGGTGTCCTAGAGCAGCAAGCTGGTGTCTTAGAGCACAAACTGGTATCCTAGACCAGCAAGCTGGTGTCCTAGAGCCACAAACAGGTGTCCTAGATCTGCAGCTGGTGTCCTAGAACACCAAGCTGTTTTCATAGAGCAGCTAGCCGGTGTCCTAGAGCAGCAAGCTGTTGTTTTAGATTAGCAAGCAAGTGTCCTAGAGCAGCAAGCAGGTGTCCTAGAGCAGAAAGCTGGTGTCCTGGAGCAGATAGCTGGTGTCCTTGAACAGCAAGCAGGTGTCCTAGAACAGCAAGCTGGTGTCCTTGAACAGCAAGCAGATGTCCTAGAACATCAAGCTGGTGTCCTATAGTAGCAGCAGGTGTCCTAGAGTTCCAGCTGGTGTCCTAGAGCAGAAAGCATGTGTCCTAGATCATCAAGCAGGTATCCTAGAGCAGTAAGCAGGTGTCCTAGAGCAACAAGCAGGTGTCCTAGAGCAGAAAACTGGTGTCCTAGAGCAGCAAGCTGGTGTCCTTTAACAACAAGCTGGTGTACTATATCAGCAAGCAGGTGTCCTAGAGCAGCAAGCAGGTGTCCTAGAGCAGCAAGCTAGTGTCCTAGAACAGCAAGCAGGTGTCCTAAAGCAGCAAGTTGGTGTCCTAGAGCAGTAAGCTGGTGTTCCAGAGGAGCAATCAGGTGTCCTAGAGCGGCAAGCTGGTGTCCTAAACAAAAAGCAGGTGGCCTAAAGCAGCAAGCAGTTGTATTAGAGCAGAAAGCTGGTGTCCTAAAGCAGCAAGCTGGAGTCATAGAGCAGCTAGTTGGTGTCCTAGAGCAACAAGCTGGTGTCCTAGAGCAGCAAACTGGTGTCTTAGATCAGCAAGCTGGGGTCCTAGAGCAGTAAGCAGTTGTTTTAGAGCAGCAATCTGGTGTTTTTTTTTTTTTTTTTTCTACCACAGACGTGGCCACACATTTACAATGCTAACCAGAATATATACATTTTCTTCTGTCCTCCATGGACAGGGTTAGAGAAGTTTTAAACATATAGTTCAAGGGTTTATTGAACACTCAACCACAGAAGGTGATTCGGTGCTTTTAAAATGCTAAGCTAACCTACATACGTAAATACATAGATACACAGATTTACGTATGCCCTACATAAAGTGTTTAATGTGTCTTTTACATAGTGTCATTAATGTACATTCACAAAGGTGAAATGTAATTCTGATCAGCTTCCATATACACTTTATACCCATACATATACATACACACACACATATACATACATATATACACACACATGCATTCACATATATTTGTCTCATTTACTCTGACAGGGTGAGATAGCTGATAAAGAAACTAGTGTGCAATTAAGCACTTAATCATTGAAGGTGATGAAGGTGCTTTTACAAGCTCAGGTTATATAGTTACATCATATATATACATTGTATAATTGATATATTACATGGTCAATCTTGGATACAAGTCCAATATATCATCACGTGTTCCAGTACTCATATAGTAATTACAGAGTTCAGCATACCTTAGCCCTGGAGGGCGAAAGTCTGTCAGTATGGGACATTCTACAATATAATGTTCAAGAGAGTGCATGTTTTCTCTTTCACAAAGTTGACACATTGTGTATTCGACATTTGGGTTTTGAGAAAGCTGCCAGATACGTCTATATCCCAGGCGTATTCTGGCCACTATAACATCACATTGCCGGGTTCTTGTTCTATTAGTCCCATATGTGAATGTCTCCTCACGATATCTATCATAATATTTAATGCTACAACTTTCAGGTCTTTGTGAATTTGTTAGGTCGGTGAGATTTTCATTAGATATTTGCTTAAGTATTCTCTTTGTCACTGCTAATGAAACCCCCATATCAATTTCTACCACTGGTTTTCTGCAGGCTGTCTTAGCAAGCATATCAACAGTATCATGCCTTGAGATGCCAACATGTGATGGTATCCATAGGAATTTAATCTCAAATCTGTTTTCTTTAGCAGCTAAAACATTCATTCGAATATCACTGACTATTTTCTGGGTGTCACTACTATGTGCATTCAGTGCCAGGAGTGCACTATGCGAGTCACAGTATATAAGTCCACTGCCTTTGTATTTAAAAAATTCAGTGGCAAGGTATATGCCTGCAAGTTCGGTTTGAGTTAGCAAGCTGGTGTCGTAGAGCAACAAGCTTTTGTCCTAGAGCATCAAACAGGCGTCCTAGAGCAACAAGCTGGTGTCGTAGAACAGCAAGCAGGTGTCATAGAGCAGCAAGCTGGTGTCCTAGATCAGCAAGCTGGTATTCTAGGGCAGTGAGCAGTTGTTCTAGAGCCGCAAGCTGGTGTCCTAGAGCAGTAAGCAGTTGTTCTAGAGCCGCAAGCTGGTGTCCTAGAGCAGTGAGCAGTTGTTCTAGAGCATCAAACAGGCGTCCTAGAGCAGCAAGCTGATGTCCTAGAGCAGCAAGCGGGTGTCCTAAAGCAGCAAGCTGGTGTTCAAACTTACTGGTGTGTCAGAGCTGCGTCAATGGGATCCTTTAGCTCCTTACCTTCACCCTGGCTACTGGTGTGTCAAAGCTGCCTCAGTGGGAGCCTCTTGTTCCTCACCTTCACCATGGTTACTGGTGTGTCAGAGCTGCCTCAGTGGGAGCCTCTTGTTCCTCACCTTCACCATGGTTACTGGTGTGTCAGAGCTGCCTCAGTGGGAGCCTCTTGTTCCTTACCTTCACCATGGTTACTGGTGTGTCAAAGCTGCCTCAGTGGGAGCCTCTTGTTCCTCACCTTCACCATGGTTACTGGTGTGTCAAAGCTGCCTCAGTGGGAGCCTCTTGTTCCTTACCTTCACCATGGTTACTGGTGTGTCAAAGCTGCCTCAGTGGGAGCCTCTTGTTCCTCACCTTCACCATGGTTACTGGTGTGTCAGAGCTGCCTCAGTGGGAGCCTCTTGTTCCTTACCTTCACCATGGTTACTGGTGTGTCAAAGCTGCCTCAGTGGGAGCCTCTTGTTCCTCACTTTCACCATGGCTACTGGTGTGTCAGAGCTGCCTCAGTGGGAGCCTCTAGCTCCTCACCTTCACCATGGCTACTGGTGTGTCAGAGCTGCCTCAGTGGGAGCCTCTAGCTCCTCACCTTCACCATGGTTACTGGTGTGTCAGAGCTGCCTCAGTGGGAGCCTCTTGTTCCTCACCTTCACCATGGTTACTGGTGTGTCAGAGCTGCCTCAGTGGGAGCCTCTTGTTCCTCACCTTCACCATGGTTACTGGTGTGTCAGAGCTGCCTCAGTGGGAGCCTCTAGCTCCTCACCTTCACCATGGTTACTGGTGTGTCAGAGCTGCCTCAGTGGGAGCCTCTAGCTCCTCACCTTCACCATGGTTACTGGTGTGTCAGACTCTGCCTCAGTGGAGCCTCTAGCTCCTCACCTTCACCATGGCTACTGGTGTGTCAGAGCTGCCTCAGTGGGAGCCTCCAGCTCCTCACCTTCAACATGGCTACTGGTGTGTCAGAGCTGCCTCAGTGGAGCCTCTAGCTCCTCACCTTCACCGTGGTTTTGAATTCTAAATTAATTTAACAGATTACGGACGAAGGGGCAGAAAAGCATTCTCGCAGACCGCATCACCTGGCCAGCCCAACACTGTGAGAGACCTGCAACCAGCGACCGGATACAGCATGCAGGTGTTGTTGCAGGTCTCTAGGGGCGGCAGGGGACAGGCGTGTGTGGCAGACGGTACGGGACGGGAGAGAGTACACACTGTCAGTTTCAACACTTCCTGTCCCGACAGTAAGTACCGGAGTTGACAACGTCTTCCTGGTTGTTTATTAGCTATGTTGATGGTACTGCTAGATATTGGTAGATGGATCATCCGTCTACTAGTACAGATAGGTACTAGAAGATGATCACAGAGTACAGTACAGGTATATACTAGTAGACGGATCACAATATTATGATGTTATCAAGGTGTTGCCTTCACTCTCACTGTTTCAGTTCCAGAAGCACCATCCTGGATCAACGTCTCTGATGTGACCAACAACAGCTTCTTAGTGACCTGGCAGGTGAGTTAGTGAGAAACACGCTGTGTTTCAAAAGCAATTTATAATATATTAGGCATCTTTTCTCCAAGACTGAAATCTGGAAGATATCGTAGTATCTTCTACTTCCACGCGTTTTCATATCTACTTTTCAGTTCGAAAAAGACATAAATTACCATGGATGTGAGTTGTCTTGATGTCTGAGCCGAGATAACAGTTGGATGCTAGTCCATGTTAATCTATGGGTAAAGGATAAAAAGTATAATGAAGTATAAAAAAGTATAAATCTGGTAGCGATCTCTAAAGGAAAGGTGAGGCTTGTGGTGACCTGCAGAACATGGAATGTTATCAGTCCAAGCAAACTGTGGCCACATGCCTGACTCAGGCTGTGTTAGTGTACCCTCCTTGCTCCAGACCTAACATCAACCCCACGAGTCTCCAGCTGACGGCCGTCAACCTCAAACGGCATAAGCTGTTAATGACCAAACCACACATCAGAAAATGGAGAAACGACGACGTTTCGGTCCGCCCTGGACAATTATCAAGTCGTGTAATGCCACGTTGTTGAGACTCATCGTCGGCATACGCTGGTCTCTCCGGGAGACTCCAGCAAAGATATAACGGTTCAATGCTATAAGGCGAGGCTCTAGAGCTAGGTCTACGCTCACTGTACACACACACTAGATATGCACTACTAGGTAAGCACCGAAGTAACTAAAAGAGTCATGATCTCTTTGGGACACTTCCTAACAAATAGGAAACAGAATAACAGTAAGACAGGAAAACCGGAATGAGGGAAGAATATTAGCAGAGTCCCACAAGGGTGAGTGCTGGAACCCATGATATTAGCCGAGTCCCACAAGGGTTGGTGCTGGAGCCCATGATATTAGCTGAGTCTCACAAGGGTTGGTGCTGGAGCCCATGATATTAGCTGAGTCCCACAAGGGTGAGTGCTGGAACCCATGATATTAGCTGAGTCCTACAAGGGTGAGTGTTGTAACCCATGATATTAGCTGAGTCCCACAAGGGTGAGTGCTGGAACCCATGATATTAGCTGAGTCCCACAAGGGTGAGTGCTGGAACTCATGATATTAGCTGAGTCCCACAAGGGTGAGTGCTGGAACCCATGATATTAGCTGAGTCCCACAAGGGTGAGTGCTGGAACCAATGATATTAGTGGATCGAACAAACCATTGCGAGAGATTAGGACCTGGTGGTAAACAGAACACAGTACCTCTCACCGAGACACACAAGCAGAATCATATCAGCAGCATATGCTATGCTAAACCGGCGATCGTAAGGTTAGTCTTGAGAAAACTAAACATGAATGCTTTCAGGACTCCATATACAGCACACATCCGACCAGAGCACGAGTATGCAGTGCCACTACGGAACACTTACCTTTAAACACACTAAAAGCTTGAGAAAGTAAACATGTTCGTTACAGGACTGCTCCCTGAAGTGAGGCGACTGAAATAGAGACTGAAGGAGCTGACCTTAATGACACGGGAAGAAAGGGGAAATATTGGGGATGTTTTTCATTTATAAAGTTCTCAGAGTTATTGATTAAACAGTGTTATAATGTTCAGGTTGAACAGTAAGGTAACGAGAGGTCATGCATGGAAGCTGGGCACTGGGATGAGCCTCAGGGATGTCAGGAATCACCTGTGTATGACCAGGAAGCTTAAGGAACGAACACGAGGAGGAAATAGTGGAGGCTTCCCTCTAAACAGAGTTTTAACAGTAGATGTGACAAGAAACACAAGGCTTAAGAGTCATTCATTACAGTTGAAGCAGGAACCTCCAAGCACAAAGTCCACTGCGGGCTCACCATAGCCCGTGCTACTTGGAACTTTTGTTCCGAGTATCTGAATCTAAACAACAAAAACTACAACAGCCCCAAATACTCTTAACTAAGAACATTTTGTCAAGAAGTAACACACGGCACTTCTATTCTCCATGATAACTTCTGGTCCTCTCCCCCACCAGGACCTTCCATACAAGACCAAGTGCCGCCTGCAGTATGCCTTGGGTATTTGGCTGGGACTCAACGACCAAGTCTATCTCTACGTGCGAGTAGATGAGGCGAGCTACAGGGTGTCAGGTCTTCAGCCTTACGCACACTACAACGTCAAAGTGTTTTCTGCTACAAGCACTGCGTACAGCACAGAACAACTAACAGATGTCAAGACTCTGCCACAAGGTGAGTGCGATTCAGTTCAATGACATCTGTTCAAATTGGTTGTTAGCTCAGATCACACTGTTGGCATGTTACAAGGTGAGCAAGGGGGGAGGGGTACCAAAGTCACCCTCAAAACACCTGCCTCATACTAGGGCTAAGTAGGTCACTAATATTGCCCTTGTCCTAGTGGTAATGTAGCCAGGCTGCTCTCATAACATCTGCTCTGAGGATGTGTTAACATAGACCATAGATCACGATGCTTCATGGGTGGGTTAACACAACCCGCTCTTGGGACTAGGCACCAATTGTTAGGGGAAAAGCACACAAGAGGCGACAGGAGGCTTGTAAATACCTTGTGATAACAACACCTGAGCACACAAGGCAACAATAGTTAGGGGAAAAAGAACACAAGAGGCGGCAGGAGAGTATTAAATACCTTGTGATAACAACACCAGTTTATCCTGACAGCTCCGGGGAAGGTTACCAATCTCAAGGTCCAGGAAGCTGCCAGCTCTTTCACCGTGACCTGGGATGGTCCTCACGACACGCCGCCCAGAGGTCAACTGCAAGCGTTTACAGTCAGTTGGCAGCAACAAGGAACACATCAGTGGAACACCGCCAACGTCTCGGCCAATACAAAGAGTTACATCATTCAGAATCTGCCCGAGAACATCATCTATATGATAAAGGTTAGCAGTTTGTTGTGTTTATGTGTTGTGTTCCGTGTTGTGAGCAGAATGGTGTGCTCAGTGAGTGGCGCTCAATCTGTTTTTCTCGGTGTGTGGTTCGTTGTACTCACTCACCTAGTTGTGCTTGCGGAGGTTGAACTCTAGCTCTTTGGTTCCGCTGTGTATAGTGCTTAGTGTTTAGTGTTCAGTATGATGTGCTCAGTGTGTGGTGCTTAGTGTGTGGTGTTCAGTGTGTGGTGCTCAGTGTGTGGTGCTTAATGCGTGGTGGTCGGTGTGTTGTGGTCAGTGTGTGGTGCTTAGTATGTGGTGCTCAGTGTGTGGTGCTCAGTGTGTGGTGCTTAATGCGTGGTGTTCAGTGTGTTGTACTCAGTGTGTGGTGCTTAGTATGTGGTGTTCAGTGTGTTGTACTCAGTGTGTGGTACTTAGTATGTGGTGTTCAGTGTGTTGTACTCAGTGTGTGGTGCTCAGTGTGTGGTGTTCAGTGTGTTGTACTCAGTGTGTGGTGCTCTGTATGTGATGTTCAGCGTGTGGTGCTCAGTATGTGGTGCTCAGTGTGTGGTTCTCAGTGTGTGAAGCTCAGTGTGTGGTTCTCAGTGTGTGGTGCTCAGTGTGGGGTGCTCATTGTGGCGCTCAGTATTTGGTGCTCAGTGTAGTGCTCTGTGTGTGGTGTTCAGTGTGTGGTGATCAGTGTGGTGCTCAGTGTGTGGTGCTCAGTGTGGTGCTCAGTGTGTGGTGCTCTGTGTGTGGTGCTTAGTGTAGTACTCAGTGTGGTGCTCTGTGTGGTGCTCTGTGTGGTGCTCAGTGTGGTGCTCAGTGCGTGGTGCTCTGTGTGGTGCTCAGTGTGTGTGGTGCTCAGAGTGATGCTCAGTGTGGTGCTCAGTGTGTGGTGCTCATTATGGTGCTCAGTGTGTGATGCTCAGTGTTTGGTGCTCAGTGTTTGGTGCTCAGTGTGTTGTGCTCAGTGTGTGGTGCTCAGTATGGTGCTCAGTGTGTGGTGCTCAGTGTGTGGTGCTCAGTATGGTGCTCAGTGTGTGGTAGTCAGTATGGTGCTTAGTGTGTGGTACTCAGTGTGGTGCTCAGGGTGCGGTGCTCAGTGCGTGGTGCTCTGTGTGTGTTGCTCAGTGTGGTGCTCTGTGTACTCACCTACATCTACTCACCTACATCAACTCACCTATTTGTGCATGCGGCGGTTGAGCTCTGGCTCCTTGGTCCCGTCTCTCAACTGTCAATGAACTGGTGTACAGGTTCCTGAGCCTACAGGGCTTTATCATATCTACACTTCAAACCATGTATGAAGTCAGCCTCCACCACATCACTTCCTAATGCTTCCATTTGTCAACCACTCTGACACTGAAAAAGTTCTTTCGAATATCTCTGTGGCTCATTTCGGCACTCAAATTTCCACCTGTGTCCCCTAGTACGTGTATCCTATGGGTTAAACAGCATGTCCTTATCTATCTACTCTATCAATTTCTTTGAGAATCTTGTACGTGGTGATCACGTCCCTCCCTAACTCTTCTGTCTTCCAGCGACGTGAGGTTTAACTCCCGTAGTCTCTCCTCGTAGCTCATTCCTCTCAGCTTGGGTACTAGTCTGGTGGCAAACCTTTGAACCTTCCCCAGTTTAGTCTTATGCTTGACTAGATATGGAATCCATGCTGGAGTTGCATACTCCAGGATTGGTCTGACATATGTGGTATACAAAGTTCTGAATGATTCTTTACACAAGTTTCTAAATGCCGTTCTTATGTTGGACAACTGGCGTATGCCTCTGATGTTATCCTCTTGATATGGGCTTCAGGGGACAGGTCTGGAGTGATATCAACCCCCAAGTATTTCTCTCTCTCTGACTCTTGAAGAGTTTCATCTCCCAAATGGTACCTTGTATCTGGTCTACCGCTCCCTACACCTATCTTCATTACATTTCATTTGCTTGGGTTAAACTCTAACAACCACTTGTTCGACCATTCCTTCAGTTTGTCTAGGTCTTCTTGAAGGCTCAAGCAGTCCTCCTCTGTCTTAATCCTTCTCATAATTTTGGAATCGTCAGCAAACATTGAAAGGAATGAGTCTATACCCTCCTGGAGATCATTTACGTATATCAGAAATAGGATAGGACCGAGTACAGAGCCCTTTGGAACTCCACTGCAGACCACGCCAATCTGAGGTCTCACCCCTCACCATAACTCTCTGCTTCCAATTGCTTAGGTACTCCCTCATCCACCGGAGCACCTTACCAGTCACTCCTGCCTTTCTCTCCAGCTTATGCACCACCCTCTAATGGGGAACTATGTCAAAGGTTTTCCTACAGTCCAAGAAAATGCAGTCCGCCTATCTTTCTCTTTCTTGCTTAATCATTATCACCTGGTCGTAGAATTCTATTAAGCCTGTAAGGAAAGATTTACTCTCCCTGAACCCATGTTGGCGATTTGTCACGAAGTCCCTTCTCTCCAGATGTTTTACTATTTTTTTTCTCACGATCTTCTCCATCACCTTGCATGGTATACAAGTCAAGGACATTGGCCTGTAGTTCAGTGCCTCCTGTCTGTCACCTTTTTTGTATATTGGGACCACATTACTCTTCCTCCATATTTCTGGTATGTCTCCCATCTCCAGTGACCAACTATACACTATGGAGAGTGGCAAGCAGAGTGACTCTTCACACTCTCTCAATACCCATGGTGAAATCCCGTCTGGACCAACTGCCTTTCTCACATCCAGATCCAACAGGTGTCTCTTGACCTCATCTCTCGTAATTTCGAACCCTTCCAAAGCTGCCTGGTTTACTGCCCCCTCTCCTAGCACAGTGACCTCACCTTGTTCTATTGTGAACACCTCCTGAAACCTCTTGTTGAGCTATTCACACACCTCTTTGTCATTCTCTGTATACGTGTCTTCGCCTGTTCTAAGTTTCATAACCTGTTTTTTCACTGTAGTTTTCCTCCTGATGTGACTGTGAAGTAAATTGGTTCGGTCTTGGCTTTGCCTGCAATATCATTTTCATAATTTTTCTCTGCTTCTTTTCTCACACTAACATACTCATTCCTGGTTCTCTGGTATCTCTCTCTGCTTTCTGGTGTTCTGTTATTTCGGAAGTTCCTCCACGTCCTTTTGTTCAGTTTCTTTGCTTCCATACATGCCCTATTAAATCATGGATTCTTCTTTTGGTTCTCGGATTTTTCCTCTTGGACCGGGATGAACCTGTTTACTGCCTCCTGACACTTTTAGGTGACATAGTCCATAATGTCTTGTACAGACATAGCTCTGAGGTCTGTGTCCCATGGTATATCCCTTAGGAAACTTCTCATCTCCTCATAAATTCCCTTTCGGTATGCCAGCCTTTTGTTTCCTAGCTCTTTTCTGGGGGAGATAAATCCTAGCTCTACCTGGTACTCAAAGATCAAAACACTGTGATCACTCATTCCCAAGGGTGCTTCCAACCTAACTTTCTTTATATCCCACTCATTTAGGGTAAATTTCAGATCAAGCATGGCTGGTTCATCTTTCCCCTCTCATTCTTGTTGGTCCCCTTGATGTGTTGGCTTAGAAAGTTTCTTGTTGCCACGTCCAGCAGCTTAGCTGTCCATGTATCTGGTCCTCCATGTGGGTCTCTGTTCTCCCAATCTATCTTCCCGTTGTTGAAGTCTCCCATGATTAATTGTCCAGATCCATTTCTGCTAGCAACAGAAGCTGCCCTCTCTATTATGTTAATGGTGGCCATGTTGTTTCTATCATATTCCTTTCTGGGTCTTCTGTCATTTGATGGTGGGTTATATATGACTACGACTATAATTTTTTGTCCTCCAGTTGCTATGGTACTTGTTATGTAGTCACTGAAACCTTCACATCCCTGAATATTCATCTCCTCAAAACCCCAGCCCTTTCTTACCAGCAAAGCTACACCACCACCTCCTCTTCCGTCTCTCTCTTTTCTCACATCACAGTAGTCCTGTGGGAACACTGCATTTGTTATGGTTTTCGTTAGCTATGTTTCTGTGAGTGCTATTATGTCTGGGTTTTCTTCTAGTGCCCATTCTCCAGGTTCGTGTGTTGTGCTCAGTGTGTGGTGCTCAGTGTGATGCTCAGTGTGTGGTGCTCAGTGTGTGGTGCACAGTGTGTGGTGATCAGCGTGGTGGTCAGCGTGGTGCTCAGTGTATGGTTCTACACCAAGTTGTATATAAGTGCAAGTGCCGGTGAAACATTACAGATGTTATCAGGTGTAAACATTACAGGTGGCGGCCAAGAACACACAGGTGAAGGACTATGGCCCTGAGACACAGGTGTTGGCCCAGACTCGCCCAGGAAGTGAGTCCATCTACTTATATTATTATTATTTGATTATACTCTAAATTAATATTCTTTTGTAATAAGTATTGTAACCCCTTGACTCTGGTTGCTGGAGTAACGGTCTTACTTCCTGCAGGTCGGCGTTCAATCCCCCGACTGATAAACTCGTTAGGCACCATCCCTTTCCTCCTCTTATCCAGAATCCTTATTCTCATATAAAGATTACATAGAGATACATAACTGTATTGCTTACAGCTCTCCGGATAATTAGCTTACCTTAATATGTTGTAAGTTTTAATAATAATAATGCAACCCATCCTCCGAATTGACAGTACGACTTAATACTAAGTGTAATAAGTACGTTGTCTTACTGTCATAAACAGTGCATAATTGCACTTATGGGGCTGTTACATTTACCCAACCCCCTCCCCCGTTTTAATTCTCCTCGTTTTCTGTTAAGACACTCAGAAGTTTAGGATGAAGTTTTCAATTTCAATTGCTCTACACAACTTTTAAATATCAGGAATTTCTTTTATAGGTTTATTAATGAATATAGATTTTGTACAAAATTTTAAAATATCCTGAGTTACTTTACAATTTATTTATATATTTTAGTTTTGTTTTATTATTTTTATAAAACTGTAATATTAATATAGCTATAGGTTAAGTACTAATTGTAATTAAGAAGCAATAAAATTATTATCTTTAAAACTAAGACGCTTAGGTGAGGTTGTGGTTTTCTATTTAGTTTTTCAGGTAAACTCAAATATTAACAATATAGTTGACATTACGATTTAATACTAAGTGAAAATAAGTACAATTCCTAACTGCTATGAATAGTACATAATTGCACTTATTTGTCTTCTTACATTTACCACCCCATTCTTGGAGGACGGGCTGTAATAATAATAATAATAATAATAATAATAATAATAATAATAATAATAATAATAATAATAATAATAATAATAATAATAATAATAATAAATATCGTCAAACTCTTGACCAAGCAGTTAGTTTGTATTCGAGACTAAAGTAACCTCTCATTCACATACATACATACATACATACATACATACATACATACATACATACATACATACATACATACATACATACATACATACATACATACACACACCTCCACACATTCATCAGGAGGGGGGCCCTAATTGCTGAGTGGACAGCGCTCTGGACTCTTAATCTTAGGGTTCGGGTTTGATCCCCTCTGATGGCAGAAACAAAATGGGCATAGTTTCTTTCACCCTGATACCCCTGTTACCTAGCAGTAAATAAATACCTGGGAGTTAAACAGCTGTTTTGGGCTCCTTTTTGGAGATGTGTGTGTGTGGGGGGGGGGGGGAATTGTAGTTAGTAACAATTGAGTGATTGACAGTTGAGAGGCGGGCCGAAAGAGCAGAGCTTAACCTTCGCAAGCATAACTAAGTAAATACATCTAGGTGAATACATACATACATACATCATACATCCATACATACATACATAAATACATACATTCATGCATACATACATCCATTCGTACATACATACATGGAGAAATTTAAAACCCTTCAGTTAGAATATATGGTTTTGCTTGTGTTCCTTTAGTGCTTAACTTATTAACACAACAATAATGACATAACTGAGAGCCGCCAAACTATTGATACTTCCATCAACTATACAATATTATTATTATTAATTATAAAAGTGTTATTATGCAAATTAATTTGATTATTAATAAAATACAATAATTTATTATCACCATACCACTCAACTTTTATTGTCACACGGTTCATCGTTAGTTTAATCTCCACGTTAATTGTGGATTTAGCACATACACACACGCGGGCGCCTGACGGCTGAGTGGACAGCGCTCGGGATTCGTAGTCCTTGGGTCCAGGGATCCTGGATTTGCATATACTTGCAGTAAATAGGTACCTGGGAGTTAGACAGCTGCGACGGGTTGCTTCCTTGGTGTGTGTGTGTGTGGGGGGGGGGGGGGGACTAAATATCAGTGACTGATTGACAGTTAAGAGGCTGGGCCCAAAGAGCCAGAGTTCAACCCCCTCGTAAGTACAACTAGGTGAGTGTACTCACCTAGTTGTACACACACACTCACACACACACACACAGTTGTAGGCCGCCGCCGGTGGGAGACACACAATTAGTGAGGTCCACGGAAATTCGTCAATTTCTCGGGACATTGAAGGAGTATAGAGGCTAGATCATAGTATTTGGCCTCTCGCAGTGTGAAGCTAGCAGGGAGCAACATAGCATAGTCATATTGCAACCTGACCTGATGGCCAGCATGGGACGACCCGCCGTGGAACTGCCTGATTGTGTTTGTTGGGTGGTGACTGTGATCAGGGGTACAGTAAATTAGTGAATTGTAACTTAACGATACAGTGAGTGACTCCAGAGCTTTGTGTAGATAGAGAAGAACAGCCATCATCAGTGTACTAGCACTTAGTGAATCACCAAGTGGGAGGCGACGACAGAGCACCATCGTCATTACTCATCTAGTTGTGTGAGCGGAAAGGCAGAATGGTATGTACTCCTCTCTGGTCAATTAATCAGGTGTACAGTGTGAGGTAAAATACTATAAAATTCTTGTTCAAGATAACATATATATTTAAAATCTGAAAGTGGCTCATTTTGGGTAGAGGTTAACGCTTATGGGAACTCGTGACACACGCACGCATGCGCACACACGCCCACGTACATATGCATGCACACACGCACGCACACACAAAAACACATACACACACGCTCACACAAACGTTCAGTCAGGGAAGAAAGGATTAACACATTTCGTGGAAAGAAGTAAGACCCCACTATACCCGACCTCCTCTCTTACCCCCCATCTGACCTGATCTGACCTGGTTTCCACCAACGGCCCCCCACCCCCCAGTCCCCCGCATCCCCCACACATACTCTCCCTCTCTCCCACTCTCTCTCTCTCTCTCTCTCTCTCTCTCTCTCTCTCTCTCTCTCTCTCTCTCTCTCTCTCTCTCTCTCTCTCTCTCTCTCTCTCTCTCTCTCTCTCTCTCTCTCTCTCTCTCTCTCTCTCTCTCTCTCTCTCCCTCCCTCCCTCCCTCCCTCCCTCCCTCCCTCCCTCTCTCTCTCTCTCTCTCTCTCTCTCTCTCTCTCTCTCTCTCTCTCTCTCTCTCTCTCTCTCTCTCTCTCTCTCTCTCTCTCTCTCTCTCTCTCTCTCCTCCCTCCCTCTCCCCCTCTCTCTCTCTCTCTCTCTCTCTCTCTCTCTCTCTCTCTCTCTCTCTCTCTCTCTCTCTCTCTCTCTCTCTCTCTCTCTCTCTCTCTCTCTCTCTCCCCCCCACCCCACTCTGCCCTTCTGACAAATCCTAACACAGCACAACTAGGAACAGGGTCAAGCATGGCAGCTAGAGGCAACAGGGGAACAGGGAAAAGTTCAGGTGACGAAATGAAGGAAATGTTCGCCCAGTTTCTGGAGGACATCAAGAGTGAAATGCAGGAAATGATGCAGGAAATGGAGAATGAAATAAGCAACCTAAAAAGAGAGCTGACAGCAGCAAAGGAGGAGATTAGAGCCCTCAAAGAGAACAGTGTCGATGCTGAGGCTCAGATAATCACCCAGGGAGAAGGTTGTAATAGTATTTTGGAGGAGAATGCCACAATAATAGCAACATTTGCACAAATGCTAAAAAAAAACAGCTCTGAAGTAATGTCTGCAGTGATGGAGGTAGCCATGAAAGCAGCCACCTCACAGGAAGCAGCACGCTCCACTAGCCAGCTGCTGGAAAGGAAAAGATCAGTGGTAGCTGTGGATATTAAAGAGCAGGAAGGCTCTCATAGGAAAGAGTGAAATGATAAGGACAAAGCGGCAGTGAATGAAATACTGAAGGCACTAGACATGGAAGGGGCTGAGCATAGCATTCAGAAGGTTTTCAGGTTAGGCTGGTACAAAAAAGACCGAGACCGTCTGTTAAAGATAGTGTTTGCAAACGAGAACACAAAGGACACAATTCTAACAAAGAAAAGCCACCTGCAACATGTGGGAGAATTAAAAAAAGTATTCCTCCAGAGGGACATGATGAGGGAGGAGAGGGCCATGGTGGCAGAAGCAAGGAAGGAGTGCAGGGCGAGAGGGGAAAATCAGGAAACCACAGTTCCCAACACATCACCCCCAGAGGCGAGGGGGAAATCCACAACCAGCTACCCAGTAACACCAGCAAGGAGGGCAACCCCACCACCCTCGTCTGCATAGAAAACCCCCCTTTCCTTCCTGTTCTCCCGCCCCTTTCACCCCATACCCTCCCTGTCCCTCTCCCTTCACTTGACCCCCACCCCTCATCCCAGTATCCTCTGCAACCCTAGTATCCACCTCACAAATCCTCACACCCATGGCACAGCTTCCTCCACCAGCAGAACACTCACCAAGGAGGAGATTTAAGAAGGGACAGAAGAAAGTGAGCCTCAGGGCAATGTCCACTAACATAAATGGAATTACAAATAAAGCAAATGAACTTGGAGAATGGGTACTAGAGGAAAACCCAGACATAATTGCTCTCACAGAAAGAAAGCTAACGAAAACAATAACAAATGCAGTGTTCCCACAGGACTATTATGTTATGAGGAAAGAGAGAGAATGAAGAGACGGTGGTGGTGTAGCTCTGCTGGTAAGAAAAGGCTGGGACTTTGAGGAGTTGGTTGTTCAGGGATATGAAGGTTTCAGTGACTACATAATTGGTACAATAACAACTGGAGGGCAAAAAATTATAGTCATAGTCATATATAATCCACCATTAAATGACAGAAGACCCAGACAGGAATATGATAGAAACAATATGACCACCATTAACATAATAGAGAGAGCAGCTTCTGTTGCTAGCAGGAATGGCTCTGGACTACTAATCATGAGAGACTTCAACCATGGGAAGATATATTGAGAGAACAGAAACCCGCATGGAGGACCAGAAGCATGGAGAGCTAAGCTGCTGGACGTGGCAACAAGAAACTTTCTAAGCCAGCACATCAAGGAACCAACAAGAATGAGAGGAGAAGATGAACCAGCAATGCTTGATCTGATATTTACCCTAAATGAGTGGGATATAAGGGAAGTCAAGATGGAAGCATCCTTGGGAATGAGTGATAACAGTGTACTGAACTTTGAGTACCTGGTAGAGCTTGGAATTATCCCCCCCGAAAAAGAACTAGGAAACAAATGACTGGCATACCGAAAGGGAAATTATTAGGAGATGAGAAGCTTCCTAAGGGAAATACCTTGGGACACAGACCTCAGAGCTAAGTCTGTACAAGATATGATGGACTATGTCACCCAAAAGTGTCAGGAGGCAGTAAGCACATACATCCCGGCCCAAGAGGAAAAATCCGAGAAGCAAAAGAAGAATCCATGGTATAAAGGGCATGTATGGAAGCAAAGAAACTGAACAAAAGGGCGTGGAGGAACTTCCTGAATAACAGAACACCAGAAAGCAGAGAGAGATACCAGAGAACCAGGAATGAGTATGTCAGGGTGAGAAGAGAAGCAGAGAAAAGCTATGAAAATGATATAGCAAAGAAAGCCAGGACCGAACCAATGCTACTCCACAGTCACATCAGAAGGAAAACAACAGTGAAAGAACAGGTAATGAAACTTAGAACAGGCGAGGACAGGTATACAGAAAAAGACAAAGAGGTGTATGATGAACTCAACAAGAGGTTCCAGGAGGTCTTCACAACAGAACAAGGTGAGGTCACTGTGCTAGGAGAAAGGGTAGTAAACCAAGCGGCACTGGAAAGAGTTTGAAATTACAAGAGAGAGGAGGTGAAGAGACACCTGCTGGATCTGGATGTTAGAAAGGCTGTTGGTCCAGACAGGATCTCACCATGGGTACTGAAAAAGTGTGCAGAGGCACTTTGCTTGCCACTCACCATAGTGTATAGTAGGTCACTTGAGACAGGAGACCTACCAGAAATATGGAAGATGGCGATTGTGTTCCCAATATACAAAAAGGGCGACAGGCAAGAGGCACTGAACTACAGGCCAGTGTCCTTGACTTGTATACCATGCAAGGTGATGGAGAAGATCGTGATAAAAAACCTGATAGCACATCTGGAGAGAAGGGACTTCGTGACAAATCGCCAACATGGGTTCAGGGAGGGTACATCTTGCCTGACTGGCTTAATAGAATTCTACGACCAGGTGACAAAGATTCAGCAAGAAAGGGATGAATGGGCGGACTGCATTTTCTTGGATTGTTGGAAAGCCTTTGACACAGTACCGCAAAAGAGGCTGGTACATAAGCTAGAGAGACAGGCAGGTGTAGCTGGTAAGGTGCTCCAATGGATAAGGGAGTACCTAAGCAATAGGAAGCAGAGAAATATGGTGAGGGGCGAGACATCCGATTGGCGTGAAGTCACCAATTGAGTCCCACAAGGCTCTGTACTCGGTCCTATCTTGTTTCTGATATATGTAAATGATCTCCCGGAGGGTATAGCTTCATTTCTCTCAATGTTTGCGGACGATGCCAAAATTATGAGAAGGATTAAGACAGAAGAGGACTGTTTGAGGCTTCAAGAAAACCTAGACAAACTGAAGGAATGGTCGAACAAATGGTTGTTAGAGTTTAACCCAACCAAATGTAATGTAATGAAGATAGGTGTAGGGAGCAGGAGGCCTGATACAAGGTATCATCTGGGAGAGGAAATTCTTCAGGAGTCAGAGAAAGAAAAAGACTTGGGGGTTGATATCACGCCAGACCTGTCTCCTGCAGCCCATATCAAGAGGATAACATCAGCAGCATATGCCAGGCTGGACAACATACGAACGGCATTCAGAAACTTGTGTAAAGAATCATTCAGAACTTTGTATACCACATATGTCAGGCCAATCCTGGAGTATGCAGCCCCAGCATGGAGTCCATATCTAGTGAAGGATAAGACTAAACTGAAAAAGGTTCAAAGGTTTGCACCAGACTAGTACCCGAGCTGAGAGGTATGAGCTACGAGGAGAGACTACGGGAATTAAACCTCACTTCGCTGGAAGACAGAAGAGTTAGGGGAGACATGATTACCACATTCAAGAATCTGAAGGGAATTGATAGGGTAGATAAAGACAGGCTATTTAACACAAGGGTCACACGCACAAGGGGACACAGGTGAAAACTGAGTGCTCAAATGAGCCACAGAGATATTCGAAAGAACTTTTTTAGTGTCAGAGTGGTTGACAAATGGAATGCATTAGAAAGTGATGTGGTGGAGGCTGACTCCATACACAGTTTCAAGTGTAGATATGATAGAGCCCAATAGGCTTAGGAATCTGTACACCTGTTGATTGACGGTTGAGAGGCGGGACCAAAGAGCCAGAGCTCAACCACGTAAACACAATTAGGTGAGTACACACACACACAGCTGGTGGTTGATATCACGCGAGACCTGTCCCTTGAAGCCCATATCAAGAGGATAACATCAGCAGCATATGCCAGGCTGGACAACATACGAACGGCATTCAGAAACTTGTGTAAGGAATCATTCAGAACTTTGTATACCACATATGTCAGACCAATCCTGGAGTATGTGGATCCAGCATGGAGTCCATATCTAGTCAAGCATAAGACTAAACTGGAAAAGGTTCAAAGGTTTGTCACCAGTCTAGTATCCGAACTGAGGGGTATGAGCTACGAGGAGAGACTACGAGAATTGAACCTCACGTCACTGGGAAACACAAGAGTTAGGGGGAACATGATCACCATATACAAGATTCACAGAGGAATTTATAGGGTAGAGAAAGGCAGACTATTTAACACAAGGGGAACACGTTTTAGGGGACACAGGTGGAAATTGAGTGCGCAAAAGAGCCATAGAGACATTAGAAAGAATTTTGTCAGTGTCAGAGTAGTAGACAAATCGAATGCATTAGGAAGTGATGTGGTGGAGGCAGACTCCATACACAGTTTCAAGTGTAGATATGATAGAGCCCAATAGGCTCAGGAACCTGTACACCAGTTGATTGACAGTTGAGAGACGGAACCAAAGAGCCAGAGCCCCCCCCCCCCGGGTAAGCGCAACTAGGTAAGTACAACTAGGTATGTACGGAGGCCACCGGCCTCCAGGGGCCGGTGGCTGATTGGTTAGCACGCTGGATACGTAGTCCTGTTTACCGGGATTCAATTCCCGTCGCAGGAGGAAACAAAATTTACAGTTTTTTTTAACCCTGATGCCCCTTCCCCCTGTTACCTAGCAGTAAATAGGTACCTGGGAGTTAGAGAGCTATCCGGACTACTTCCTGGGGGTGTGAAAAAAAAGTTCATTGATTGGCTGTTGAGAGGCGGGCCAAAAATGCAGAGCTCAACCCCCGCAAGCACAATTAGGTGAATAGAACTAGGTGAATACACACACACACACACACACACACACACACACACACAACTTGGGGGCCTCGTAGCCTGGTGGATAGCGCGCAGGACTCGTAATTCTGTGGCGCGGGTTCGATTCCCGCACGAGGCAGAAACAAAATGGGCAAAGTTTCTTTCACCCTAAGTGCCCCTGTTACCTAGCAGTAAATAGGTACCTGGGAGTTAGTCAGCTGTCACGGGCTGCTTCCTGGGGTGTGTGTGTGTGGTGTGGGAAAAAAAGAAAGAAAAAAAGTAGTTAGTAAACAGTTGATTGACAGTTGAGAGGCGGGCCGAAAGAGCAAAGCTCAACCCCCGCAAAAACACAACTAGTAAACACAACTAGTAAAACACACACACACACACACACACACACACACACACACACACACACACACACACACACACACACAGAATCGTTCAGAACCTTGTATAACATTTATGTCAGACCAATTCTGGTGCACACAGCTCTAGCTTGGAGTTCATACCTAGTTAAACACAATACAAAGTTAGAGAAGATTAAGAGGTATGCCACCAGACTAGTCCCAGAATTACGAGTTATGAGCTAGGAGGAAAGGCTACGTTAGCTAAACCTCATGTCATTGGAAGACAGAAGATTAAGCGGAGACATGATAACCACCTATAAAATTGACAGGGGTGGACAAAGACAAACTATTTAGCATGGGTAGAACACGATCAGAGGGACACAGGTTGAAACTTATTACCCAGATGAGCCACTGAGACATTAGAAAGAATTTTTTCAGTGTCAGAGTAGTTAGTAAATGGGATGCATTAAGCAGTGATGTGGTGGAGGCTGACTCCATACACAGTTTCAAATGTAGATTTGACAGAGCCCAATATGGTCCAGAATCACACCATTTTACACCATTTTATTGACAGTTGAGAGGCGGGCAAAGAGCCTAAGCTCAACCCCCACAAGTACAACTAGGTGAGTAAAAGCGCTAGGAAATATTTACTGATGGTACGACAGACTTATATAAGTAAAACAGCATGGAATAAAAAAAAGTGAACCTTAAACCACTCTCCCTTCTACTCAGCCCACTCCCCCTTCCACTCAGCCCACTCCCCCTTCCACTCAGCCCACTCCCCCTTCCACTCAGCCCACTCCCCCTTCAACTCAGCCCACTCCCCCTTCCACTCAGCCCACTCCCCCTTCCACTCAGCCCACTTCCTTTTCACTCAGCCCACTCACAGCCGTTGCTCTGACCTCTCTACAGAACCATCTCCGGTCCGAAACTTGAGAGAGTTGTCTGTCACAACAGACAGCGTGGAAGTAGCCTGGGACCCGCCCACAGACCCAGCGGGCGCCCTGGTCCTCTACCAGGCCTCTGCCCGGGTCGTCTCGGGCCAAGCCACACAAGAGGAAGTAATCCATCACAACACTACAGCCATTATCACCCAAGTGGAAGTAAGGCAATACTTGCTAAACTTGCACTCTTTACATCCAATCCTGACTTACAAAAAATCGTTTATTTACCACGTGATATATTTAAAAGTTTAGATGTTTTAGATAAATTCAAAGGATTCGAAACTGAACAACTTAGTAATTGTGAAATTCAGAACCTGGATAATAATAAAAACTTAAATGTAAAGTTTAAGATGATTTAAATAGAACAAGAATTATACCATTGGCGTGGTTTAGCAAATTATGAAAGTTTCTAAATCTAAATGGTATATTTAATTAATAAATTTATCTAGATATAGTGTGATAAAATTAAGAAACGTGGCTGACATTCTCTATTCAATTTCTAAACCTTTGGTTGTTAATTCACTTTTTATTTATACAAGCTTATGCGCTTATTTTTATGTGTTTTTTATAACACATAAGTTCTATATGCACGTGTACGAGAGGACATTAATGGGCACTTATAACAGTCAGGTCTGTGTACCAGAGGACATTACTGGGGACACTTATAACAGTCATATATGTGCATCAGAAGACATTACAGGAGTCTCTTATAACAGTCAGGTCTGTGTACCAGAGGACATTACTGGAGATACTTATAACAGTCATATATGTGCATCAGAAGACATTACAGGAGTCTCTTATAACAGTCAGGTCTGTGTACCAGAGGACATTACTGGAGATACTTATAACAGTCAGATATGTGTATCAGAGGACTTTACAGGGGGTCTTTTTTTTAACAGCCAGGTCTGTGTACCAGAGGACATTACTTATGTCTCTTATAACAGTCAGGTCTGTGTACCAGAGGATATTACTTGGGTCTCTTATAACAGTCAGATATGTGTACCAGAGGACATTAATTAGGACTCTTATAACAGTCAGATATGTGTACCAGAGGAGATTAATTAGGACTTTTATAACAGTCAGATATATGTACCAGAGGACATTTCTGGGGTCTCTTGTAACAGTCAGGTCTATAATACGCGAGGACCTTACTGTGGTCTATATAACAATCAGGTCTGTATACGAGAGGACATTACTGGGGTCTCGTATAGCAGTCAGGTCTGTGTAGCAGAAGACATTACAGTGGTCTCTTATAAGTCAGGTCTGTGTAACAGAGGACATTATTGGGGTCTCTTACAACAGTCAGGTCTGTTTACGAGAGGACATTCCTTGTGTCTCTATAAGTCAGGTGTGTGTAGCAGAGGACAATACTGGGGTCTCTCATAACAGTCTGGTATCAGAGGGGTAGATGGGGGGGGGGATGGTAGTGGTTTCTTCGTACATACAATGAAACTTGGTATTAGAACACGCCTGATATTAGCTTATGGGTTGAGCAGAGACCCCAACCACTCCCTGACAGAACAAACAGCCGACCTCGGCAGCCACGCTCCTACTACTGTCGGTCGACCAGCAATGAACACTGGAGTGCTTGCATTTATTTAGATCACCCTCGTAAGCGTCTGGTTCTGTGAGAGGTGTTCAGGATTACCTTTATTCAGGGATATGTCTCACACTGCCTAGTTATCATGAGTACACACCCGCTCCTGAGCCGCCATGTCTCCCTGCACTCTCCTTACTGGACGATGGTCTCTCAATCCCCCTTAGTTAGTTATAGTCCACTATCACCCAAGTTATAGCTGTGTCTTTCTCTCTCTAGGCAGAAAGCCTCACCAGGACAAGAGCTAAAGCCAGCTAACAAATATAACATTTAATATTATACAACATACACAATATACATGCAGGAAAAGTTATAAAACATTACGACCTCTTAGGCGGCTACCAACTGATAACACTCCGATATCGCCTTATGGCTCCAACCTATAATTGTATCAGGCTGCTACTTAAACTTCGGCTTACAACCTTCTGGTTCCTTCACTGCTTTTGGCTGCAATATATGGCACAAAAAAATATTCACATATTTCCTACTCTACAAAAAGCATAAATCTCTCACCTTACACTGCGTCTTTCATGCCAAAACGCAGTAAAGCACTCTCTTAAACATCAAGATCCAAGTGATCCTCTGTTCCATTACTCGAGGTCCCCTACTACAATCATAACCTGGCTCCTCAAAATATTCTGTAAGGTTCTCCTGCAGTTCCTTCAATCAGCAGGAAGGTAGTCCTCCTTCAAGGTCAGTGAAGCTCCCTCCAAACGCTTCACACAAACAACGTGTAGCTACCTACACTACTCGACGATTCACTGTTTCTGGAGTTCCACTTATCAACTTGAAGTCCTGCACCACCTTACAGTTCAGTTCACACTATAAGTTTAAGCTCACACTTGGAGTTCGGCATACACTCCTCCTCTGGTATGAAGTTCTCTCACTAACTTCTCCCACACAAACGTTGCAATTCTCCCACACAAACGTTGCAGTTCTCCCACACAAACGTTGTAGTTCTCCCACACAAACGTTGCAGTTCTCCCACACAAACCAGCAAATCCATCAGCATTCCATAATAAACGTTTTCCTAACAAAACATAATTAAATGTATTCACAGAAAATAAAACTCCTCCATCCAACATCACTTTCAACACTATTGCGTCACCGTGACGGTCCTCCCCCATCCTGGGCGGGTCCACTTGGGAACATTTTCCAGACAAGTCGCTGGCCGCCTCTCAGGTCGCGAGGCAGGGGCGTACCCCTTCAGTCAGCTACTGACCTTAGGAGAGGGCGGACGTATCACTCCTCCCTTCAGCATGTTCTCTTATCTCTAACCTCTTATTTGAGTTCACTGTCACAATAAACCATGTGTCCTATTGTATAAACATTTGCAATAATCGGAGGGCACACGATCAAGCACAGGCAACCACTGTAACAACTGTTATATGAGCTCACTGCAGAATTTGTATCTCCAGGGCACTCAGCTGAGGTGCTCCCAGATGTCGTCTTCTAAGACATCCAGCAAAGTTTCTTTATGATGGCCTCACAGCTCTACTGCTCCTGATTTGGGTACATTAAATCGTCCAAAAGGCTTCACACATCAACGCCTGGTTGATTACCTCCTCTTGAAGGAGCACACAGTTAGGGTTCCTCCTATTGCCAGGAGATCAACAAAGCACAACTCTCTCTGACGAACTTCTGTGACTCAAATAAGGTCATGACGCCCTGCTAGCCTCACGTCATGTCACCAGAGTATCGACATTTCATTTCATGTCACTTATTTGCATGCTCATCTTTTGCTCATATTTTAAAATTATTCACTGACATTTATCAGATATTTAATATATACATCCTTCCTCTGACCTCTCGGTCAGGTCCAGAAGACCGAATAACTCACAGTTGTAGACTCGTTCCACCCAGGCTACATGGGTTCATAACACTGGTCTGTGTAGCAGAGGGCATTACTGGGATCTCGTATAAGTCAGGTCCGTATACGAGAGGACATTACTGTGGTCTATATAACTATCAGGTCTGTATACGAGAGGACATTACTTGGGTCTCTATAACAGTCAGGTCTGTATACGAGAGGACATAATTGGGGTCTCTTATAACTGTCAGGTCTGTGTAGCTGAGGACATTACTGAAGTCTCTTATAACTCGAAGACTATAGCTTGGAATGTAGTAAAATTGAGCCATTTAGAGATAAATCTAAACTCAAGCTGTATGATATGGCAACCTATCTCATTACCAAGGATAAAATACCTGAAATCTTTGAACTGTATCCATATTTCGCTTCCAGTAGATAAACGACATATGAGACTGAAGAGCAAGTAGTGTATTGTGAAGACTAATAATAAACAGCAGCTCCCCTATGACTCTGCAATATCTCCACTTCTCAAACAATTGTGAATTAGCGATAAAGCCTAACATGTATGTACACTGAGGGTATCTTGAGATGATTTCGGGGCTTAGTGTCCCCGCGGCCCAGTCCTCGACCAGGCCTCCACCCCCAGGAAGCAGCCCGTGACAGCTGACTAACAACCAGGTACCTATTTACTACTAGGTAACAGGGGCATCAGGGTGAAAGAAACTCTGCCCATCGTTTCTCGCCGGCACCCGGGATCGATCCTGGGACCACAGGATCACGCGTCCAGTGTTCTGTCCGCTCAGCCACCGGCTCCCTGACTTACTGTTAATATATAGCTCTTGAATTAGAACAATCTTTATAGCTTGCTGACATTGTAGTTATAAGGTGTGGAGGATAGATGAAATTATTTATGTAATAATAATAGTTGAGGTCTGATAATGACCTTGTGTGCCCTCTGTAATGCTTCTTGCGCTACCGCTCACAGGATGAGTATGGGGAGCACAATAAACTACCCACCTCCGGCGGCAACAATCAGCCTGGTCTGTGTAGCAGAGGATATTGCTGGGGTCTCTTATAACAGTCAGGTCTTTGTACCAAGGACATTACTGAGGTCTCTTTTAATAGTCAGGTCTCTGTAGCAGTGGACATAATTGGAGTCTCTTATAGCAGTCAGGTCTGTGTAGCAGAGGACATGACTGGAGACTTTTATAACAGTCAGGTCTTTGTACCAAGGACATTACTGAGGTCTCTTTTAATAGTCAGGTCTCTGTAGCAGTGGACATAATTGGAGTCTCTTATAGCAGTCAGGTCTGTGTAGCAGAGGACATGACTGGAGACTTTTATAACAGTCAGGTCTTTGTACCAAGGACATTACTTAGGTCTCTTTTAATAGTCAGGTCTCTGTAGCAGTGGACATGACTGGAGTCTCTTATAGCAGTCAGGTCTCTATACGAGAGGACATTACTGGGGATTTTATTACATTCAGGTCTGTGTACCAGATAACATTTTTGGGGTCTCTATAGCAGTCAGGTCTGTTTAGTAGAGGACATTACGAGCGTCACCCACTGTGTAGTGTGTAGCATAGTGCAGCATCACCCACTGTGTAGTGTGTAGCATGGTGCAGCGTCACCCACTGTGTAGTGTGTAGCATGGTGCAGTGTCACCCACTGTGTAGTCTGTAGCATGGTGCAGCATTACCCACTGTGTAGTGTGTAGCATGGTGCAGTGTCACCCACTGTGTAGTGTGTAGCA